TTGAGATCTTATATTTAAGATCAAAGTAAAAGTCAAACGAGGTCTTATATTAATGATACGAGGTAGTATTATTATTAATAAATAGTTAATGATTCAAGTAATAATAATGCATCTTGATATTCCTTCCTCGTTGCAGACTTCCCATATTTCATGTAAGAAGCAGGTGAAATTGAGAGGTGCGGGGTGAATAAAATGTGGCATAAAGAAATCATAAGGGAAGAGAAGGTATTTTTCGAATTTTTTTATATTTTTTAATACATCTCTCAAATCCTGTTTTGCTTGCAGAAAAAATAAAATAAAATAAGAGATTAATCAACGAAGCCGTGCTTCCAAAAATATTGAAATTTAGGGGAAAAAATTTAAAAAAAATGATCTGTACGTAACTTTAAAGATCATGAACTTATATGCAATTTAAGTTAAAACATAATATAAGAGTTAGTTGGTGATTCAATTTAGTTACAAATATAAAATTACAATTCACTTTGTCTTTGCCTCCTACGACATTTATTCATTTTTCTTGAAGGAGTCATATGATAAATACACATATTAAAATATTTTCATTTAAAGGCATATAATTGATAAAGATATTTTTTTAAAAAAATTACTTATTTATTATAAATAACTAACTCAACTAATTTTTTTTATATTGACAAATTAGTTATCTATCCCCATATTGAGAACAGGACTACAGGAGGTAGTGTTAACCGATAAAAATTAAATAACAAGAGGAAATTTTATGACTCCCATGTGTAAGACAGATGAAGCGGAACCAACAAAGAAAGAACAGACGCTAGTTCCAGCGAGAGAGAAGAGCTTGCTTAATTTCATGGTTATATTATGGTGATTAAATTAAAGGAGAATAAGGAGGGAGATAGAATAGAATGACTAGAAGCTTCCCAACTGAAACACCATTAAGTACTCTTCATAGTACTGTCTTGTTGGGATAATTTTGCCATTGGCCTCCTTGGCTTGCACGCACACACGTTCGCACACGACATTAAATACATTAAAATTTGCTTCTTATTATTGAGAGAACTTTTCTGAACAGTGAAATGGAAACTGCTAAGGCCAGATGTTATTACAGTTCGCCATTGGCTCAGAACGAACAGGTGTGCTTCATCATCATGTGATTGCGGTTTCAGGGGGAGAAGCCATGAAACTGAAATTCCCTCTCTTCCTCCTTCCTCCTCATCTTCTCTCAGGAATCCGGTGCCTCTCTCTCCAGCAAAGCCAGCAAACTTTTATTCACTATTCCCCAGAATCACACTCAACAGTAAAAACAAAAAAACAGATGATAAATGTACATTAAAGATGAGTTCTACATTAATATCACACTGCATTTATTTGACGTGGTGAACAAGTATTTTTCTAAATATTTATCAAGTACTGAAAGAAAAAAGTTAGATATAGATAAACATAAAATGATATAATTACTATTCTATACAATTAATATATACTCAATTAATGTGTAACTGAACTATTCAATAGAAAGAAACAAATGTTTTTAAAATATAATAGTAGTATAAAGTAATGAGTATGGCCATAGATGCAACGCAGGCAAGCCATATAATTCCAACAAGTTCCTCGATCTCGTCAACTTCCAAGCTTCTCTCAGCAGAGATGCTGTCAAGAGCTATATATAACTGACAGTGCGTACGTGCGTTTCAAACCCAAATTACAAATTTGAGAAAACAAGAGACATCCGAAGTAGCTAGCGGCGCCTCCGACGGATTCCTTGTATCTCTCTCACTACCCTCTCTTCTTTCTGTGATATCTCTGTTATTATTTATCTATACCCTCTCACCCTTCTGTTTTTGTAATTGTACTTGAATTATATTGTCCTTCTTCAGATAGCCAGCAATGTCTACGTCGGATACCACAGAGCAGCCGCCAGATGATCTGGAAGCTCAGTTTTTAAGTCGGATGGCGAAGCTGACAATCAAAGAACCGGAGGTGAACGATATGGACGACGAGCTGTGCAAAACTCCGACGAGGCCAGAAAACCAAATACGCGTTCTCAACTGTCCGCCTGCACCCAGAAAGAAAAGACCAGCTCCTTCATCAACTTCTAAGCGCCTCTACACCGTTCAGTACGTCATCGTGCTTCAGGAGACCATAGACGCTTTCTTCCGAGCTTCTGGCGAGTCATCCAGGGTTGTCAAGAGGCGCAGAATTAATTAAACAGGCTCAAGTTATAGTCTTTCTGGCGGTTCTATGCTTGCTTGTGGACTTTGGTTTTTCGGAGTTGTCGGTCATATGTGATATGTGTATTGCTTGTCCGTGTTGTTTCTTAGTATTTTCGTACTTCTGCTTTGTTGTTTCCCTGTGTCATGACCTCTGTATTGGTGTCAGTAATGAGTTAGCTGGCTATGTTACCGCTTCAATGAGTTTGCTGGGTTATATATTCTTGCTGTCGTCGATTATCTCTTTCCGCAGAAAATAAATAAAGTTGAAAAGACTTCTTTCTTCATTCAAAATGAATAGTTTGCATGCAATTTCATTGAAGAAGCTCGGCCATAATTCCACAGCACAGAGAGAGAGAGAGAGAGAGAGCTGAACATGCGCAATACAAGAGTTCTTGTGGACAAGAATATTCATTGATCAGTTTCGTCTTACCGCGATCTGCAGCTGTACTTTGTCTGTTGTGAAGAGTGAGTAAGGTGTGTAGGTCCCACTAGTCAATGGGACCCACACAAACCCTCAATCTCTCTCTCATCCGGCGATGTAAGAATCCATGAGTCATGGACCATGACAGAGAGGGATCACCGGAGAAATTTTCAGAGCTCTACACTTAATTAATCACCTTTAATGGTTTTGTTCTGTTTTCCGCGACAGTGAAAGCCGAAACTGTTTTCACGTCGAATTGCGTGCTACGGCACATTACATGATCAGCTTGAAAGGGACTGTCATCTATAAGAATACCAGAAACAATAACATCCTATAGCATCAATATATATATATATATATATATATATATATGATGGTGCTTTAATTTAATTTGCTTCTGTGTTGTCTTCGAAGTTTAATTAATTTGCGTCACGCCTTCAAGAAAGACTTTTACATATATTATATTTACCACGATCCTTAATGTCGACCATCATTTCATGTATATATGTTTGTACGTGACATCTTCATTTCCTGCAAAAGGTTGCAACAAGGTTTAATATGATAAGGTTCGACGCAAGCTAAGTTTGTTCCCACCAGCCGTTTAGGAAAAACAATGAACAAACAAAAACTCATGTAGCCGCTAGCAAGTGTAGTACACTGTAGTCCAGTTCAATTAATGATCGGTGGCCCTTATTTATGATCCTTCACCATGTTCATAACTCTAGATCATTTGTCGTATCAGGCGGCTCTCAACCTCTTGGGGTGATTTAGTTCAAACATTTAATTAACCCTGCAACACTTTCCAGGCCCAACCCCAACCCCGTAATTACTACTCCACTAGCAGCTTGTGCTATTCAGGTGTGGATCATCTGAGACGACTGGATGAAGCTGATTAATTCAACAACGACGCGGCAAAATGCAAGATTCCCCGTTACCCTTTAGCTCCGCCGCAGCCGCCGCCGCCGCCGTCAACTGAAAAATCAATTCCGGCACGTCCCAACAACACCTTATTGAATCCTTAAAAATAAAAGCCTCTTAAAAATCTTGTTCCCATGTTCCCTCGCACCTCCGTATGCAAATACCACAAACTCGTCAAAGATGGGATTTTGCATAAGAAGGCGATCATTCCGCTCTCGCCGACCACAATAGCGGGGCCATGGACTGATATCACTCCATTCTTTCAATCCCATAATTCTCAAATGCTCAGTGTTTTGTTCCTTCTCATATACAACATCCTTCTGCTATACGCACGATGCTGAATATTCCATTTTCAATGTTGACGGCTACTGTATCAAGTGCCGTTTCCAAATACTAAAACTACTAGATATTTCTTTCTTTTTATAATAAAAGAAACTAGGGATTTTTAATTATTTCTGGATATAACACGCTTGTTGTTGGAAATATTGAAATTTGTTTGTGTAATTGTGGCTATATTCGGGGGATAGATTGAGTAGATTAAGGAAATAAGTTAAGTTAGTTATTTATAATAAATGGATGTTGTCTTTTCTAAAATATCTCTACTAATCAAGTATATTAGTTAGAATTAAAATTATTAGGACTACTTTAAAAAAATACAAATATGAGAGACAAAATGGATTTGAATCTTTTATTTAGAATCAAAATAAAAGTTAACGAGGGTCTTAATTAAGAACCAGAGGTAGTAAAATAAAATTGAAGAGTTAAAATGGAAGAAAACGCTCTACCGTATTACTCCTTTCAGTCCTTATAAGCTTTAAATATGGGAAGGGGTGTGGTTCATTTTATAAGTTTCAATTTGGGATTTGTCTTAACATTTAATGTATTTTTTCTATTTTTGCCTTTAAGTATTTATTCTCTCTTCTTTATTATACTTTCTTCTATTATATTTCCCCGTACTTTTATCCTTTTTCTCATTTATTATAAGGGTATATTTGAAAATAAAACTGTATTTCTAACTTATTTATTGCTTTTAACTAATTTTAATTAGCAGCTTATTATTCGTGAATTATTTATTTGAAACTTATAATAAAGAGAAAGGGAATAAATATGCTGCATACGTTGGTATTAGTGCCACTAATTTATTCGTCGCTTGTGGGTTGAATAGCTGTCGTACGCTCTATTAATTAATCCCCAAATACAGATTTGTAATAGGACAAGATTTAACCGGAAATCAAATATATTTAACGACGGGCAGCATTTGTGTGAATTGATTCGGAAAAATAATTATACCGTGGGTGGACAATATAGTGATCCATTAATTAATCTTCCCATGCAGAAACTAACCACGTATCTGCTCCTTCGATTGGCACTTGTAACCTGCCCCACAGACGTCAACCTCGTAATTCCCCAAGACACATATATGTAATAAAATTTAACATTTACACAGATACTGCCTTAGTTTTTCCATTTCTACCATGACTTCATCAAAGCGTGCCGGGAACATGAAGGGAAGCCCAGGCGGATCGGATCACGGAGATGCTCTTATGGCTGAAGCAAGTTCTGTGACTACTGAAGATACCCAAAATTGTGAAAGCTCTGAAATGAAAGAAGAGGCCTTAGAGAAAAAGAGGAAGAGAAAGAGAAAGAGAAGAAGACGAAGAGAAGGGTATGAGAAGTGCGTGTACAATGTGCTGAAACAAGTGCACCCAGGGATGGAGATTTCAACAGCGGCCATGGCTATTCTGAACAATCTGATGAATGACATGTTTGAGAGGCTGGCTGATGAGGCAGCAAGGCTCAAGAACTACACAGGGCAAGTAACTCTGTCTTCCAGGGAGATGCAAGGGGCAGTGAAACTGGTTTTGCCAGGTGAGCTTGGCAAGCATGCCAATGCTGAAGGTGTCAAAGCTGTCATAGCCTATCTTTCTTACGATGCCTGATTCTCTTTTGCTTGCTTTTAGAAGGGAAGCTCTTTTGAGGGCTTTTGTGTGAATACGTAGATCACTCATCGCTGTCTATAGAGTGTAGCTGTTATTTTGGTTGTAAAATTTTTTGGCTCTGTGTATAGTTTCCAGAGAGGAAGTATTTGGGGAATATTGTAGCAGTCACTTCACTATACCGTGCAAGAGCACCAATGTTCCCTCGCTTTGCTTGTGATTACAGTTAATGAACCTGATGCTTATGAACTACGTGCCGAGACAAATTTCCTTTTATTTTCTTTTTATTTACGGCTTTTTTGACTTTAGCACTAATGTAGAGAATAAAAACGGACGATTCTTGTATTACAGATGAAGCTGGAATACTCTTATCAAACAGGCATACCACTCTGAGATGCATTTCATGAATTGATTTTTCCAAAATGCAGGTTGCACATGATCCATTCCAGTTCGAGAACCATCGGTTTAATTATTTATTACTACTTTCAGTTTTAATTATAAGATCTTATTTTTAATCTGTAAACGAAATCTTATAATTAAGACGAGAGGTGGTATTATTATTGTTGTTGTTATTGTTAAAAACAATGTACAAATAAAAATAAAAAGATACAACACAGCAAACCCAATCGGTTTAAGCATTTCGAACATAAGAGTAAAACAATGTCGTACTAAGAGAAAGGCTGGCTTTTGGGACGCAGGTTAGTTCCCTTCCTTCCATAGTCTCATCCCAAAAAGTGAGAGGCGGGGGTTAACTCTCAAGGCAGAATAAATTTCCGCTCAGATTAAAATGGTTGAGATTTAATTCAATTTACATTTTTTTAATTACTTTTTTACTTTAAGAGATGCTGAATTTAAAATAAACATTATTTTTTGATTGTAAAAAAAAAACAAAACTACCACCTAAAAGTCTAAAAATTTAAAAAACTTCAAATGATGATCTAAATTACATTTAGGCAATTCAAACCTTGCATCAACAATAAAAACACTTCGTTATCAATAACGCACGCTAAGGAAGGCTATGACCCACGTGGAATTGCACTGGCCATCCTGCCTTTATCTCCGATAATAATTTAATTTAATCATGCGGTAGAATGTTCGTGCCAATTAATTCCTTAACCTTAATAAATGTAAGGTTAAAATGGTCCCAAGAGACTGTCAGACGGGTGAAAAAGGCTTATCAATATTAGTTGTCTTGCCAGACTGCCAGCTCAGCAAAAGAAAATTTTAGATAATATAAGTTCCGCAGGTCCTTTCCTGATGAGCTCTAAATCATTTGTCAGGCCATATCAACTAATCAACTAATAAACCTGCTACATACGTACATCCAAAAAAGGAAGGAATTCCAAGATAAATCATCACGATAACATATACGCGGGCCCCTGACGATCCCGTTCAACCGACGAAACTTCAAGCCCCACGTCACACTGTACAACCCCCCCCCCCCCCTCTCTTCTTTTTTCCCCCTCTCTTCTCTAGTCAGCAAACACGAAATGAATGACCAAGATCCCTCCTAAACAAGACGTCAAGAAGGGAACTTCCTACACAGCATATTTATTTTTATTCATTTCAGACATGGGCGGAAAAAATGCTAGTGTGTTCCATCTGTGCACTCAGCATAAATACAGATATCACGAAATTTGAAGGGAAAAAATATTCCTGGAAAATGTCGAGGATCTACTACCGGTCAGGTTCCTGTATTGTGTTAAAAGTGTGGCCATTATATTCACGTCAAAGTTATAGTATAGAATAAGCACGTATCACCTCCACAACAGGTGCTTGACACATTGGACACTTTCTCCTACTTTGGAACAACTCATTGGCACATTTTGAACATGTGCACATGTGCCCGCATCTGCAACAAAAGCAAAATTGTATTTTAGGTTACAATAATCAGGTGCAGACACCAGCCAATGGGCCATGGACGTGTCAAAGGGATACTGAATAATACCTGTACAACAAAGAATCGATATTGCTCTCGCAGCAAATACAGCACAGGCCTTTTCTCACACATTCCCATTTAGACTTGTCATCAGGTGAATCATGGTCATGCACATCTGTGATCCATGTAACTTATTTTTCTCAGTAAACCTTCAATAGAAGACCCAGAGAGCCCGAATGAAAAGCCCTGGGAGATTGATATAGAATGTTAAGGGTGAAAGAAAATAAAATGCAAACCTGATGAACCAGATGAGCGATTTAGGGCTGCAGAAACCTCCTGTCTTATTGAGCGCTGCAACTCAAGCTGCATATCCATACAGGCCTCCAGCATTCTCTGCATATTATTCATTCTTTGCTGTAGCCTCACCATGTCAATTCTCAAGTCATTGATAATCTCCCACTCCTGCCAAAGCCAGTGAATCAAACAACGTAAATATGTTTTTTTTTTAAAAAAAAAAATAAATAAAATATAATGGGACAGAAACTCAAAATTCAGAAGTCCAAGCCATGAACAATTCAGCAAAGGAGAAGTAAAATGTTGTATTAAGCATGACCCAAGGAGTAGGCTTCATAATATTAGAATAAATGAACCAATTATCCCTATACTCACCAAAGGAAATGAATGCCCAATTCCTAGACGCTGGTTATTCATATCAGCTCGTGACCAATTGTCATGATGTGAATGTCGTTCCCAGAGAGGTTGAGGAGGTGTTGGTGATGAGGGCTGGTCAAGTGGACTGTTGATAGTATCCTCCTGACCAACAATCTGATCCCTACGTGGCTGCTCCAGGTCCTGCTCAACTGAGGCAGAAGAAGGGGTTGTTTCTTGCAGCTCCCACTCAACATGAGCATGACCTTGCCTTTCAACATATGACTGTATCAACTGGTCAAGACTTTCACGAAAACTGCTGCGAAGGAGGTTAGAAACACTTCTCCTACAAGATGAAACAATAGTTGTCCTAGTTTAGGTGTTTTATTTTATAAACGGGCATCATTAGCTCTCCTATCATATTTACATACCTATTTAGCAGTTCCCTGAGTTCCACGCTATTCACATTGTCATCATCTGGAAAGTAAAAGCCATGAATTCTACCAACTGGAGCAGCTTCATGATCAGAAGGTCCACCCAACCAATTTTCCACCGCCTCCTGAAAGCCACCATCTTCTTGCCACATTTCTGGGGCTTCTGGTAGATGAGAGTTTTCACCATCTTCATTGCCCAAAATGTCTTGAGGCCACTCATTGGAGGTACCACTGGGATGATTATCATCCAGACTTTCCTCTATGCCATTTCTCTGGTGCCCATCACTTCCTTCATTTTCAATAAGTTCTTCCTGCTGCTGTTCTTCCGGAGCAGTAGATACAGACCTATTTTCGTTGTCTGCTGCTATTGCTTCCATAACATCACTATGAGTTGATGAATCATTATCATCATTGCTCATGACACTTGGCTCAAATTCTTCAGGATATACCTCATCAGATCCCTGTATATTGCTATGTTCTGTAACTCCAATCTGACAATTCTGTTGCATAAGTCTATCGGTGGTATCTTCAACTGTCATTTCAACAACATGTAGCCCACAATCATCTCTTCTTCCCATCCCAACACTGGATGATGATTGGCAATCTTTTGACTCATTTTCCAAGAGCTGTGATGACCTTCCTTCTATATGAGCAGTGGAATCTTGACAATCTACATTTTCCTTAATGATTTCTCGTGTAAAATTCTGACCATCTAAGATCCCAACTCCATCACTGTCTCCAACAGTAGGTTCAGACTGTTCAAAATGTACAATTGAGACTGAATGTAAACTGCCCGAGTCAGTTTGTTCATTTGAATTATTATCAATGCCATTGTTAGATGAGGTATCTGAAAGAGTGCAAGTTACTTGACTGCTACCAGAATAGTCCTTCCCAGAGAAAAACCCTTCCCTGTCAGAAAAACAGGTTGACAAATTTGATATGAAGCACAAACAAAACATTACAACCACTACAAATCAGAATAAAATTTCGCTTTGAATTACTGGCTGAAAGAACTACTTACCTTAGACCTGATACAGTCTGTTTTTGTCTCAGTAAGCCTAATTCACTTTCAGCTATGGAAGTGGACCGGTTAACATCAATTGATCTGTCATTTCTCAAGAACCTACCCCTGAGCAATGCCTGCGAGAAATTTAACATCCACTCATCAACTGCAAGTTGAGATTCATCATTTGAAATAAAGGTTATGTAAATTCTATGTAACAGGCATCAGATTCAGAGTTCCAAAACTATTCTTTGGGTTGCCCAAATTGCTTCAATTTTAAATGATTTATGTCTTAACAATTTTTTTGAATTGCACCAGATATATAAACGACTTTCAATCTTCCTTTCTCTCTGTACTGCATACCTAAACAAAAGCTAAAGTTGCTACACCAACAAAGAGATTATTTCACTTCTAATTTAACATGAATTTTATTTTAAAACCAAGATGATTAACTAAAACAGTTGATAGATGAATAGCCAAATAAATATCTTTTATCCAGTTCACAAAAACAGAGTTTCCAATCTTGATGCTCACGCTGTGCAGGCAGCGAGAAGGAGTACCTTCAAAATCATCTAATCTAAATTAATTAATAATTAGTAAGGGCAAACCTGAATGCGGTTGCGATGAGGGAAATGAGATACAGCTCTATGGTCCAACAATTCCTGAACTTCTTTTTGTCTTTCCCTCTGGGCCTTCTTAAGCATATCAAGCATAACCTGTCTGCCACATAATTTACGGATACCCCTTCGCATATGCTCAGTTTGACTCTCGCTCTGATTCACAGCAAACCCATCACGAACTCGCTCTATTTGGGTACCAAATTCAGCTGATTGTTCTTCCCTGTTGTCCCCAGAAGAAATAACTCTCTGCTGGCTACTCAATTGTACCCACTCCCTTATGATTCTCACCCTCTCCTGCTCAGTTTCACCGAGCCATTCTGATCTTGAACTGCTATGACCTTGGGGAATGTTTGTGGCTTGATCCCCAGCACCACTTTTCATCCATTCCCTGAAAATTTGCCTCACCCTTTCCCTTTCAACTTCTCCAAGATCAGAAGAATTATCACAACTACAATTGTTTAATTCCTCCTGCTCATCAGGAGATTCAAGCTGACCCTGTGACTGTGACCATGTTTCACAATCAGTCTCACCCAAAATTGAATCTTCTACCACATGCCTCTCTCCTGTGTCATGGCTACCGGGCACACTTGCCTGTGAGAGGTCAGTAATGAACTCATCACTCCTTTGCTGAAGTAATCCGTCGCCAGGTCTTCCTTGGACTTGACCCACCACATGCTCATCCTCAATCTCTCGCCACATTTGCAAGATTGAGGAAGATCGGGTGCTTCCACTCCCTCCATCTTCTCGCCTCCTAGGGGATTGAGAGTGGGAATCCCTAAGAAAAGAAGAGTCAAGCACAGACAGATTATGTAGTCCAGCAATAGCCATTTCTAATTTACCCTTTTAATGAGTACACAGATCTTTTCAACCCATTAGAGGCCAGTGCACTAAAATTCGCATAGTTAGGATGGGCAGAATCAAAGGAGTCCTTCTAGAAACTGCTCGCTTCATATCTGCGAGGATTTGACCCCACTGCATTTGCCATCAAAATCTCAGTGCTAGCTATCACCCTTATGAATCTCAGCCCCATCATCAAGAAAGGAATTACGAAAATTGGACTACCCAATGGAAGGAGCTAAAGCCACCTAAACCTCAGCCTGCAAAAGAAAGAGTAAATTACATCAACATTTTTAATTAAAAAAACAGATATATTTGAAATCATAAAGTGACTTACGAGAAGTCATCGAATTCCTACACCATAACAGAAACTCGCCAAACAGTAAGATTGAAATCAACAGACTCAATAAACGGCAGACTATATTATTCGATCCTTAGCGCCGTCTAAGAATTTGTCATGAAATCGGACCTCAGATTCTCATTTTGGTAAAACTCATACTCGATAAGCTCAGGAGAACTGAACAAAACACAGATATTGGACCCTCTGCATTGAAGGAGCTGGAGTTCTTTAGTTCGTCCCCAGAACAATGAATTTGAAAATTCATTTCTCACCATTTTTTCTCACCTTTCTCAAAAGCCAGCCAGAGAGAAGACAATGGAAACCAAGCGGAATTCAAATCGGGATACTGACTATTCAATTTTCCAATAGAAAAAGGTAATGGAAAACATATCAGAATCCACAATCAGCCATAGAACCAGAAACAGATGACTTAAGCATTCGATCCAATAAACATTGAAGCAGAAACACGTACCAGTAAAGTTCTGCTTTTGATTTTAAAGTGGAGGAAACGAAACCCTAGCTGTGAAGAAATTCTCAGAGAGAGAGAGAGAGAGAGAGATGACAACGTAAATGGAAGCATGAGAGGGAGAGAAGGAAAGAGGGAAGAGCGCCGATTAACAAATAAAATAAATAAATGGGGACATTGTCATTTGGTATCTGACTTTCCAAAGAAACCGCCGTAACACTAACGTCTAAATTTTCGCGATCGGTTATCATTTAATGACACGTGGCGGTTATCCTTTCTTTTCTTTTGCTTACGGGGCAGTAATGACGAAATTTCCTAATCTTCAATTCAACGTGAAGTTTGCTGTTAGTCACCAGCATTCAACGCAGTCGTACATTCGGAGCCCATTTTTTCCCCAACTACACAGTACCGTTGAAATTGGATCTGCAACTGCAAAATGTATAATTCTTAGATACTTTTAAAATGTTATGTTAAGAGTTGGCTCTAATGAATCAGGCTAGTCCTCACAACATGACGAATCAAAGTTTGAATCCCTATTAGAAGAAGTGTCTCCATTTAGTACCCGGCATTATTTTGAATAAGATTGTTTCCAATAGAAAAATACATATGCTTTAGTAAAAAAAATGTTATGTTATTTATACTTTATACTAAAAAAATACAAATAAAATGAAACCCCAACACAATAAGAAGCATATGAAGCAGTCGGTTTAGGAGTAGAAAGTAGATGCATGGGATGTATACCGTCATAGGTAACTTTTCCTGATTTGTTAGTTATTGAGCCAGAAAAATTAACTAACACGTAAAATGAGTTCAGTCGATCTTTATTGACTTTTAAATTTTGAGGAAAGCTAGCGGGAGAGTTGGGATGAAAAGCAGAACTAAGTCCTCATCAAAACAGAGGAATAAAGATGTTGCCAATGATGATGAAGAGAGAACAAATTCATGGTTCTGGAGATTAGGCTGGTTATTAAATGGCTGTAATCATGGGGTCATTCTTAGGATAATCTCATCCGATGCAACATCGACTTTTGGCTTTTCCTTCTTTTTATTGACAAGAATAACATAAGAATAACCAAAAAGGGAGGCAAGGCAACTAATTAATCATCGTGGAGTACTTGAGAACCTGTAAAATTGATGTCCTGATCACCCTCTTAAATACCACTTTAAAGTTGGTGTGACCTGTGACTAATTTAAGTAAACCTACATAGAAAGTATAGTCATCATGAAGTTCCCAAAAGCTCGCCTCCTCCACATTCCCCATTTTTTGCATTCATATAACTCGCTTTAGACTGTTTCGTGTAGTTTGCTTGCTTCGTTGCATTTTAGTTCCTCAAATCAACGGATAAAGGGTACAGATTTTGGTTCATGAGCTCCAGTCTTAATTAGCTAGTTGCAGAGTTTTAAAAGGAAAAGAAGTTATAAAGATACCCACCCATAAATATGTCTTCCTAAAGCTACTCAAACCTAATCATCAGCTTGCTTTATTTTAACAAACATATTAACTTTATGACTTTATCTCGTGAATTTCAGTGTTCTTGGAACCAAAGCAACCCCCAAATTCAAATCCTGTTTGGCTCAATTTTTATAGCCCCATCACCAAACTTCCCCTGAGACTCCTCTTCTGCTTTTCTTCTTTCTTTTTTAAATCACATCCTCCCTACTCTGCTTCGGCTCTGTTTTATTAATAGACTGCTGGAAGAGAAAAGAAAGAAACTTTAAATTCTATCATCGTGTTTCTTGGCCCATAATCCGCGTAGAATGAAAAGCTCAACGAACGAGTTGACTGGCGACAACTTCAGCGCAACTAATATAATTGAGTTTACAGGGCTCATTAATTTCCATAATCCACTGACGGGGTTGGTGATGGCAATTGAAGAACGAAGCTATCAACTTTGATGAATACAAAGTTGTCATCAGGCACCAAACTTGTACGTACACGGATCCGGAAATTCCAATGGAGAGGGCTTCCTGAAGCTCGTACCAAGGGCAAGTGATACAGTATGTGTGTGCAATATGGTCCCGTGTTTGAGTCGAATCTATTTTACACTTACTGTCAGCTGAGAGTGGCATATTTGCGAACACGTTGCATGCACATCCCGAAAGGTGCGGAAATAGTCATGTTCTTCTGTCTCACTCCCCTTGAAACAAATCCCCATTATCGCGCTATAGTTCCGTGGCTTTCTTTTAGTTCTGAAATAATGCAAGAGTTTCTGTAGCCCATCGAGAGTTTGTTTAACTGCTCAC